CTTCTCTCCAAAGCCCCCCAGTACATAGCTGTATATTTTACTTTTGAGTCCTTCTAGTTGTGGCATGTGGGATGCCGCCTCAGCATGGCTTGATGAGCAGTGCTACGCCCAGGACCCAAACAAGTGAAACCCCGGGCCACCGAAGCAGAATGAGCAAACTCAACCACTCGGCCACGGGGGCCAGCCCCTTAAGTATGTTTTTTTAAGCCTTTAGTCTTTCCTGAGAAGGACTATATCTCATCACCTACCCGTGCTGCAAAGAACTGATAGCAAAACCCTACGTTATCTCAAACCAACAAGGAAAAGGATAAAAGTAGAAGGGAGCTGCACGTAACTACCAACCTTCAGTGAGCCCCGGGTACCTCTGTAATCCTCTTGAAGGTAACACTGGAGTAACTGTACACTCTGTTCTTCATCAAGACCCTGAAACACAGAGGTTCTCAGTGAGGAAACCACACACCATGAGAGCATTCTAAAGGTTTGTCCTCTGCGATGGACACAGAACCTGAATCAACAAAACCCTTTCAAAAGATTCCATACAACATAACAATTTTAACCCAAATAGGAGAAAAAAGGAGGCAGTCACTGACATGTAATTTACAGGTCAGAAACAACCGGGCTGATTCCCCAAGAACAGTACTATAGAGGTGCGATCTGAGTTTCCAAAATGAAAAGAAAACAGCTACATATTTAAATACAATCTAGCCAATTTAAAGACCACCACATGTGCTGAAGAAAACTCTGTGATAGAAGTAACCAGGTCAGGCAACTTGATCTGTGGCTTTTAGCAAGAAGAGTTGCAACTTGGGTATTTTGAAACACAGTATGCTCAATCTCATCTCCAAAACTGAAATAAAAGGAATTTTCACCAAAATCACTAACGATATAACCACTCTCATCCACACTGCAGGTAATAAACTGAGCCGGTGCTCATTTTTACTCACCAAGAACTTGCTGATTCTTAAACCCAGTTCCTTCAGAGGTGAAGCTACATCTTTATTAGCTTTCACTTTTTCAGCGGAATTCGGACTATGAAAAAAAACAATGAATCATTTCCTCTTTCTCAATGACCCCTAGGGTTTAAAATAAAAGCACTTAAAGATACTTTTACTACATACTTTTTTCTGCCTTTTAGATGCCTACAAAATACACACACACACACACACACACACACAAAGTTCATCCTTATAGACTTCATAACAAAGAAGTATTTATGCCCAAGTAATAATTATAGTATACGTCTGTTACAAACTATAGTTTAAATGATATTATTTGTAAATATATTACGTTACAGTAATTAATTTTGATGCTTAAAAGTATCCTGAAAGGTAAGTATTATGATCTCCATTTTACAAATGGAATTACCAACACTGAGGAAGATAAATAACTTACCAAAAATCCCACAGCTAACACAAAGTGGAGGTGACATTTAAAACCAGGTCCGTTAGTATACATACATATATTACCCAGCTCCGTCCACTGAGAAAGCCCAGGAGCTACGACACCCCCGTAGCAGCAAGCACACTCAGCACCCAAATCTTGGTTTCTAATATTATACTCTAATAAAAGGTACCAGGACTCCTTGGAGAAATAGCTGATTCTAGAGCTACATGGGGAAATATACTAGATGAGCCTGGAGCATCTGGTAATGTCAGAAAGTAAGGGAAAACTCAGAAAACAAAAGGATGGGGGCATGTCAAAATGACACAGAAGCCAACCTAAAAGAACTCCCAATGGCCAAAGTTGGAACAAGGTATAAACGAAGTGTAAAATAAATATAAATGAGTCCATAGTGACATAAATGAATGAGTGACTAAACAAATGGGGAGAAGGGGAACTCTGTAAAGAAGTCCAAATAATATACATAGATGCTACCCCCTTCAGGAGGTGGAGCTGAATTCCACCACACCTCCACATTGAGAGTGGGCTACACTTGGTGACTCACTGCCAAACAACAGAAGAGGGAAAGGGGGAAAAGGGACTTTACAGAGGAGAAGCTGAGCACATGCTACCCCACCCGAGTGAGCAAGGTTAACATCGCCAGTGACTCCATGGACAACATGCATCCTCTCATGATGTGACAAGAATGCTACTTCACCTCTGTGTATTCTTCCCCAAACCCCACAACCCCAATCTAGTAATGAGAAAAACAGCAGACAAATCCAAATTCAGGGCCTTCTACAAAACAGTTGACCAGTCCTCCTCAAAACTGTTTGAGGTCATGAAAACAAGGAAAGACTGAGATACTGTCACAGCTATGCTAAGGAGACATGACAACTAAATGCAATTTGGTACCCTGGATTGTATCCTGGAAAGAAAGAGGACGTTAAAAAAAAAAAAAGAAAGAAAGGTTAGATTCAAATAAAGCCTGCAGTCAAAAAAACAAAAAAATGAAAAAATCATTTCTGTCAGACTTCAAATCCCATGCTACCACAAACAGAACTTTTCGCTTTCTAAAAGGAAACTAACGCCACAAACGTCCATTTTGTGAACTAAAGCATGTTGTTCTTGTTGCATTTTTTTTACAGAGACTCACATTTCACAGAAAATCCCCAACACAAAGGCTAGCATAAGGTTAAACAATAAGTTCTGAAAGGGCAACACAGAATGATGATGAAGAACACAGACACTGGAGTAAGACTGCCAGGTTCAAATCCCGGTTCTACCACTTACTACTGTGTGACCTTGGGCAAGTTACTTAACCTGTTTGTGCCTCAGTTTCCCCATCTGTAAAATGGAAACAATAATAAAAGTACCTAAATGTGATAAGATACTGATTATCCTTTTTAAAAGTCCATATATTTTAAATACAGAGTAAAGCATTTACAGATAAAATAATATGACGTCTGGGAGCTACTTCAGAACAATTATGGGGGAAGGGGTGACAGGATGAAAAATGAAAGATCCTCACTAACCTAAGAGAATGAAGATGGAAGGTGAAGACGTAACAAAATCAACCAATGCTCAGAAGTAGAAGGGAAATGAGGGTGGCTTGGGAACTATGATCCATGACAGAATGAGATCTGGACTAGGAATTAACAAGAGTCTACTCCGACAAGGTGCATTCTCTTTTGTAACCACTTTATATTTTACCATTGTTGTTTCCAACTGCTCAGTAAAAGAAAATCTATATATTTGAACAAAGAATAAAAATAGTACGTAACTCAAAGGGCTGACGGGAGGATTAAATAACTTATGCTAAGTCTATGCTTAGGAAAGTAACTGGTACATAGTAAACACTATATAAACATCAGCTGCTATTATCATCGTTCACTGCTACACCCCAGAATGTGGTGCTGACAGTGCCTCACACAAACTTGATGGACCAAAATAAATATTAAGAATAGTGACTCAATATTTAATAAGTCCTCATGCCCAGACACTTGGGCTACATAATTGGATTCAACAATACCGTATTTCTAGAAGGAATTTCCCCTCCTTTCAACAGACAGAAACACGTGCCTTACTCTTGTCCCTGGTAACCAAACTGCGTTCTCTCAGCAATCTCCTAACATGAGGATGGGTCCATCCACGCCGGATCCTCAGGGGAATCACTCTAACCACACGCACAGAAGAGCCATACCTGGGAGGTTTGTAGTAAGAAAGCCCCTCTAACAGCCGCTGCCAATGTTTACTCAGTTCTGCCTCAATCTGATTCTGGAAAAGAGTAAGGAAATTATAAAAATGCAATTTGAATCATACTCCAGGATCACATTGAGGGTAACATATTCCTTTGAGTCTATTTAATATGCCTTTTCCCCCACAGTTGAAATCATTTTGAATACAGAATTCTGCAGCCTCCTTCTCTTTGCTTAACTCTAACAAAATGATTTAACCTTCTTATGAAAAATCTTGATAAACATCCTTTCTAGTAGTTGCATAATATTTTACCAAGTGGATAGATCATAATTTATTTATCATCCCTCTAATGTTAGAAACACTTAAGCTGACAGTAATTCTTTATTAACATAAATAACGCTATGGTAAAGAGCTCTGTGCACAAAACGTTTTCAAGATTCAGTTTTTTTAAATAAATTCTGAGGGGCTGGCCCTGTGGCCCAGTGGTTAAGTTCGTGCCCTCTGCTGCAGGCGGCCCAGTGTTTCGTTGGTTCGAATCCTGGGCGCGGACATGGCACTGCTCATCAAACCACGCTGAGGCAGCGTCCCACATGCCACAACTAGAAGGACTCCCAACGAAGAATATACAACTATGTACCAAGGGGCTTTGGGGAGAAAAAGGAAAAAATAAAATCTTTAAAAAAATTAAAAAATAAAAAAAATAAAATAGAATAAAATAAATTCCGAGAAGTGGAATGATCAGATGAAGTCATCACAAAAATGTTAAGGCTCTAAAAAAAGTGTAACATTCACTATGTTAATTACAATAACAAAAGGAGCAATAATTGAATATTGTCTTCACACTTCACCCTCACAGGTCAGAACACCCAAGGATCAACACAAAGAACTGTCCTTTATTGATTATACACTTGGAAGAGTCCTAGAAACCACAGCCTCTGTGACCTCAGGAGCTAGCTAGACGGAAAAGGAAAAAAAGGCAAGTCAAGTATGAGATGGAACAAAGGCCTGAGAATCTTTCTTAGCCTGAGGAAATGGAGTGGTATTTGTACCTCTACCCTCAGTAGCCAGTCAAGCAGCACTGGGAGCTTTTCAGAAAAGGAATCACTAAGGGACATAGAAAGGTGGAGATTTAGAAATCTTCAGCAGCCAGGCTCTAAGACATACCGCATTTCAGCAGAGAGAAAAAGGGAATGCATGTTTACAAAGTTTTAGGAATAAGAAAATGTGTTTACTTCCCAGGTCAAAGAGAAGGCAGGGTTTTTCCCTAATATAAGCTACACAAACAAAGAACGATAGAATCCACTCAAGAACACCACCACTTACCAGTTCTCTCAGAGCCGACCTTCCAAGCAGAATTGTCCACAGTTCTCTACTGCTCCTGAAAATTACAGAAAGCAGTGGTGATTTTGCTCTTTTAGATTGTACAAACTTGACTAAGCTGTCTCACAGCTATTTTGTCTTCTCTGAAAGCAAGAAACTCAACGCGCAAAACAATTTGTTAAAATTTTGGACGGTATTCCTGTTTTACTGTTCTTGGAAGTTTGATGTTCAAAATAAACATTAAGTAGGGCTGGCCCCGTGGCCGAGTGGTCAAGTTCGCATGCTCCGCTGCAGGCAGCCCAGTGTTTCGATGGTTCGAACCCTGGGCGCGGACATGGCACTGCTCATCAAACCACGCTGAGGCAGTGTCCCACATGCCACAACTAGAAGGACCCACAACAAAGAATATACAACTATGTACTGGGGGGCTTTGGGGGAAAAAAAATAAAATCTTTAAAAAAATAAATAAAAAATAAACATTAAGAAACTAAAATGTGGGGCTGGCCCTGGGGCCGAGTGGTTCAGTTCTCGTGCTCTGCTGCAGGCGGCCCAGTGTTTCGTTGGTTCGAATCCTGGGCGCGGACACGGCACTGCTCATGAAACCAAGCTGAGGTAGCGCCCCACATGCCACAACTAGAAGGACCCACAACTAAAAATACACAACTATGTACCATGGGGCTTTGGGGAGAAAAAGAAAAAATAAAACCTTAAAAAAAAACACCCTAAAATATAGGATTTTAACCTAAACCAAGCAGATATTGTGCTACAAATGAGGATGGCCACCATATTTCAACACATTTAAGATGCCATTAATTGCAGGACACATGATTATCTACATTCTACAAGTCATCAACAAGAAAACATATTCCAATTTCAGAGGTATTTAAAGTGTGAAAAAATGTGTACTTTAGAATTAATGGAACACACTAAGAAATTACAGTACGTTTTCTATGCTAAGAAGATGCTTCAATTTAGTATTTCAATCTCCTTCCTTATTAAAATGTAGTGACCGATAAGGAAGAACAATCTAGAAAAGGACTTTGTATATTTCAGGACCCCCATCACCTCCAGAAAATTTTCTAACTTCATGCTATAATTCACTTTCTCAACCAAGTAGAGTGGAACAGTCATGATCAATGGTACTATGTTCATTAATTTATGAATGAATTCCCACTAGGTGTCACATGCATCGCTACACACATAGGATAAAGAAACACACAGCAGATACAGTCCCTGCCCCCAGTGAGCTCTTCAGATATCCTGCCCACCATGGGCTTACCCCAATTCCTTCCTTCATCCCAAATCCATGCAATTAGAATTTCAGGAAACATACTTTGGGGTTTTTTTTAAAGACTAGAATTAAATTTCAAAATGTAACCATTAAGAAATTCTCTCAAGAAAGGGGTATAAAGCCTAGGGAGGGCTGGCCCAGTGGCATAGTCGTTTAAGTCTGCCCATTCTGCTTTGGCGGCCCAGGGTTCGCAGGTTTGGATCCTGGACAAGGACCTACACATCACTCGGCAACCAGGGCTGTGGCAGCATCCCACATATAAAATAGAGCAAGAATGGCACACAGGGACAGTCTTCGTCAAGCAAAAAAGAGGAAGACTAGCAACAGATGTTAGCTCAGAGCCAATCTTCCTCACCAAAACAAACAAACAAAATTATGGGGATTATATTTTGTGAGAACCTAAATCAGCCCTAGGATAGTAACCGGAAATAATTAACACTGCTGAGAAAGCTTATCTGCAGAGAAAAGACAAAAACATCCTCATAAAATGGACTAAACATTTAACAAAAAGAATGCAACCTGTATTAACTATGAGAATCAACTGAAAATGTTTTCCCCATTAAGACTGTGACACAAAGCACTAGCTCAATCTATTTCTATTTAAAATTGTCTCTCAGTACCTTCCCATCAAAACAGTTAAACACACCTAAAAATTATAAATCTCTTTCCTAGGGGTTAAGGCTTTGAAGAGAAAAAGAAAATCAGTGTGGAATCCCTAATCGTTTTCCTGATAACAAGAAAGCATTCACTACTGAATGCCAACTTAACCACTACGCCACTGGCCAGCCCCTAAATCACTCTTTCTTGATCATCCATCTTCCAATTTCAAACAGCCTGGGCATCTATGACCTTTAATTTATCTGCATTTGCTTTCAGAACTCAGGTCTATAACAAGCTAGGTAGCAGTGAGTCACAGAAGAGACTAAGAAGACCAATACAGTCAAGAATTCCTTGTTTTCTCAAATTCAAGCTCTGGGTATTTCTTACACCAAAATCTGTATAGTTTTTGGAAAAAGTACACTGTCTTAAGCCAGCCCTGATGGCCTAGTGGTTAAAGCTCGGTGACATCCCCGAGTTTGTTTCGCAGTCTCACAACCACACCACCCGCCTGTCAGTAGCCTCACCGTGCCAGCAGCTCACATAGAAGAACTAGGACTTACAACTAGGATATACAACCATGCCCTGCTGCTTTGGGGAGGGGAACAGATACAATGTCCCTAAGGAGGATTTCTCAAACATGTAGTTGGTCCTTAGACCACAAAGAGCAAAATCACCTGGGAACAACACAGCAACACTTCAGAATCCTCCTCACCACCTACAGCTACTCTTTCTCAGAGGCTGAGCACGGGAAATCTACACTTTAAAACCAGTACCCAAATGCATCCCTCAATTCCCACTGCTCTAGGGCATCAGTTTGCCTCAGAGGAGCAGGTTAAAGGCCTGGTCAGTACAGAGCCTCTCTGGCTTTTCCGCTGGACATATTAGCTCTTTTTGGGAGAGGGGATGGGAGGATTCTCCTACCAAACATGATTGGAGATCATGCCCGAAAGCAACTTTTATACGTTAGAAATACAGCTGTTCCTCTAGCAATTAAAACTCTCATTGGCAAAACCACGTCATGTTATGGTCTTCTTGTCATAAGGTATCAGGAACAATCTTTGCTGAAGGTGAGTTCTTGATAACAAGAACAGCCAACATTTCTTGAGCAGTTACTTGTCAGGCACTGTCCTAAGTGAGTATTTAACACTTGGTCTTACTGAATATTGACAACTTCCTTTATGAGGCGGATACTCTTACTGTTCCCACTATCTGAGCAGGAAACTCAGGTTTAAGAGTGGTTAAGGAACTAGCCTGAGATCACAAAGCTAATCTATACTGGAGCCAGGGCTTGAACCGAGGCCTACATGACTCCCGAGTTTAATCAGGGCATTACACGGCCTCAAGCTGCACCCAAGAATTCACCCTGCAAGCAAGCAAACACTGAAGCGAAGCGTTCCTGTCTACATCAGCAGACCATACCTTAACACGCTGGATGGAACATAGGAGAGGCTCAAAAAGACGTGCGATGAACAAGCATCAAAGCAGAACACCACGAGGCCCTTTCACACTTGTACTCTAATTGGAACAGAAAAATTACGGAAAACAAATACTATATACAGAAGTGCCAAGAGAAGGACGAATAAAGGAGAAAATGGTCGTTCATCAGGAAGGGAATCATTGTGGAAATGAGTGTTACTGCTTCCTCAATTCCTACACATTTATGATCAAAGAATGATGGGGACACAAATAAATCAAAGACCTTCACGATGCTCAGAAGCTTAGTGTTGGGAATGACAAAGGACATTAAACACACATCACACAATCAGCAAAAAAGTAGAAAGTAGCAAACAGCAGGATGCTAACAATCGGACGCTACAAAGGAATATAACCATATGACATAGAAAAGAGTCAGCGAAGAGAGAGCTCACTGGGAACCGACCCAGGGATCAAGGAGAGACTTCACCTCAAATGCAGACCTGAAGGTTTCAACAGGTGATTCTCAAGACACACACACACGACCGGAACTGTGCTCTGCAATCCAAAGCCTCAGGGTAACACCTCTACCTGTATTTTAAGGAACAAACGAAGTGCTACGTTGTCTCTCGCTCATCTGCACAACGAATAAATCCGAGCTAAGTATTTAGGGGAGAAACTGAGGCACAGAAATTAAACGACGTGCCTCAAAGGTAAAGTTAAAAAACTTATTGACTTCCAGTCCAATGTTCTAGAAGACACCAGGAACTCCATTCCTGAAAGAGCCAGGGTCAACGGAACCTGGAAGTTACCTTCCTTAGAGACCCACGCGGCTGGAAACCTTTGAGCGGAAGCTCCCAGGGGGCTGGGAGTACCAGTCTCTACAACAGAGTCCTTTCGGTGGAAAGCTGAGACACAGCCAGCCCACTCTGAGATGGCTCTCTCGAGGAACAGAGTCATAGCCCACATGGACACGATAGCTAGAAGTGGCCGCTGCCCACGGATGCTGACTCCAAGGATGAGGCCGCCTCTTCCGCGTGTACTGAGATTCACGCTTAGCAGCAAGCTTTTCAAAGCACAGCTGTTTTTTCAACTCACACACCACTCAGACTTCTACAGACACACTAAGTGAAGACCGTAGGAGAGACGCAAAAATGCCAATATTCAACTGACTTTCCCCAAGCCCTGAGTGACTGATGTCAGGATATTACTGCATTTTCACAGTGACTTCCCTCCATGCTCAGCACTGCTCTCAAAAGGGTTCACATCTGCAGAAACAGGCTCCAGGGGGCAGCTGGCCTGTCTGAGGTCACCTGCGAGTCAGCAGCCCAGGAATGGAATCTAAGCTTTCTCTTAGTGCAGACCGCCAGGCATTTCGCAGAAGGCTGCTGCCCAGCACGATCCCAGTCGTCGCGACGGGCCCTCCAGCTCACAAAGGGTCACTCTCGGGACACGGGCTAGGAGCGGGGCGGCGCCTGGAAAACCCCCTTCGGGTCCGAGCCGGGTAGGGTCCCCAGGACCAGCCGAGCACCTTGCAGGCAAACCAGCGCCCGCGCGCCGGCCTCGCGCTGTCCTCGCGGAGCGCGCCTCCCCCCGCCCAGCTGAGCTCGCCCCCGGCGCCGCGCCGACTGCCACCGGCGCCTGCGGCAGGCCGGCCAGCAAGCGCGGGGCCGCCCGAAGCGAGGCTGCCGTGGAGCAGCGGCGGAGGACGCGCAGCGGGCGCTCGCCAGGCGCACACGCGGAGCGGGGGCTCGGACGCCACGGCCTCGCGCGAGCGCCGGCGAGGGCGGCGCCATCAGCGGGGCCCGGCGCTTCGCCTATTGACCGAGCGCCTCTCACGCGCGCTCGCGGGCTGGGGACACAGCGGCGACCGGACAGAACTCGGCGCAGCGCCGCGGGCCAGGGAGCAGGAAGCGGCAGGGGCGTCCGCGAACTCGGGAGGGCGGGCGGCGGGGAGAGTGGGGACACCGCCGCGACGGGGAAGCCGGAGCCGCGGGGATCCGGCCGGAGCTGCGGGCTGGGCCGCGAGGCGTCTGTCACCAGCGGGGCGCGCGGCGTCGGGCAACGAGGAGACGACGCGCCGCTGGGTAAGCACCGGCTCCCCTCCGTCGACGGCAGCTCCTCGCCCCGAGCCCGGGACGGCGCCTGGCTCTCTGGGGGCCGCGGGCAGGTCGGCGGACCACGCCGCGCACGGGAGGACGAGCAGACGGATGGAGGGAAGGCTGCGAGCACGGAGGGCAGGGCCGCCCGGGGGCGGCGACACGCGGACTCCGGCCGGAGCACATGGGCACCGGGTAGCCGCCAGGGAAGCGGGGGGCGGCGGCGGTCCGGGCTGAGGCTGTCGCGGCGACAGCGAAGCGCCTCGTCCTGCCTCGAGGGAGCGTCACGCCGCACGAGTAGGCGCGGGGGCCGCCGAGGGACGCGCCGCTGGGGACGAGGGCAGGGAAAGAGCGGGTGAAGAGACGGAGGCCGGCGCCGAGCAGAGGGCCCAGGCACCGGCCCCTCTCCGAGAAGGCGCCTCAGATCCCCGCGCGCGGGGACCGTTTGAACGTAAACGCCTCCTGTGTCGGCGCCCGTCAACAAGCCGGGCTTCGCCCTGCGGCCACCACCCCATCTCGCCCTTCTCCCGCCCCGCATCCGGTCGTCTAGAACTCGGTGCCTCACAGCCGTCCAGCCGACTTGGCCCACTCCGCACCTCACACACGGCCCGCCGGCGGCCGCCGCCATCTTCGCGCGCGCGCGCCCGCCGAGCCACGCCCCCAGACGCCGCGCCCACGTGACCCGCCCCTCCCAGCGAGCGACTGGGCGGGCCCCTCCGTCACGTGACGGCGGGGCGGGGCGGAGCCAAGATGGCGATGCCCAGAAAGGCAGGGAACCTGCGGCCAGGATGGCGGAGGCGGTGACATAAGAGGCCTCGTAGAGACGTCTACGCCGCAGATGAGCGACGGTGGCGGTGACCAGGCACCAGCTCCCAGGCCGAAAAGAGCGGCCTACAGTGAAGCTTCCCTCCCGCTGCCGGAGAACGGGGAGAGAAGGTGCTGCCTGGGTGAAGCTGCCGATTTCTGTCTGGCAGGGATTGGGGGCCCCAGAGTCCGAGGCGTCCGTAGTTACCTCGGTTTCTCCGAGGTCCCAGGTCTAGTGACATGACCCGACAGTGCGCTCCCCCGGCTTCGGGCACTGGGGCTCCGCTGAGCGGGTCGGTGCTGGCAGAGGCGGCAGTGGTGTTCGCGGTGGTGCTGAGCATCCACGCGGCCGTGTGGGACCGATACTCGTGGTGCGCCGTGGCCCTCGCAGTGCAGGCCTTCTATGTCCAATACAAGTGGGACCGGCTGCTGCAGCAGGGAAGCGCTGTCTTCCGGTTCCGAACGTCCGCAAACAGTGGCCTACTGCCCGCCTCAGTGGTCATGCCTTTGCTCGGACTGGTCATGAAGGAGCGCTGCCAGTCTGCGGGGAACCCATACTTCGAGCGCTTTGGAATTGTGGTGGCAGCGTCTGGCATGGCTGTGGCCCTCTTCTCATCAGTGTTGGCCCTGGGCCTCACTCGCCCGGTGCCCAGCAACACTTGTGTCATCTCGGGCCTGGCTGGAGGTGTCATCATTTATATCATGAAGCACTCACTGAGTGTGGGCGAGGTGATCGAGGTCCTGGAGGTCCTGCTGATCTTCGTCTACCTCAACATGATCCTGCTGTACCTGCTGCCCCGCTGCTTCACCCCTGGGGAGGCACTGCTGGTACTGGGTGGCATCAGCTTCATGCTTAACCAGCTCATCAAGCGCTCTCTGACTGTGGTGGAAAGCCAGGGCGATCCGGTGGACTTCTTCCTGCTGGTCGTGGTGGTAGGGATGGTGCTCATGGGCGTCTTCTTCAGCACCCTCTTTGTCTTCATGGACTCAGGTACCTGGGCCTCCTCCATATTTTTCCACCTCATGACCTGTGTTCTGGCTCTGGGCGTGGTGCTGCCCTGGCTGCACCGGCTCATCCACAGGAACCCCTTGCTCTGGCTTCTTCAGTTCCTCTTCCAGACAAACACCCGCATCTACCTGCTGGCCTACTGGACTCTGCTGGCCACCTTAGCCTGCCAGGTGGTGCTGTACCAGAATGCCAAGAGGTCATCTTCTGAGTCCAAAAAGCACCAGGCCCCCACCATTGCCCGGAAGTATTTCCACTTCATTGTAGTGGCCACCTACGTCCCAGGTATCGTCTTTGACCGGTCTCTGCTCTATGTGGCCGCCACTGTATGTCTGGCAGTGTTCCTCTTCCTGGAGTACGTGCGCTACTTCCGCATCAAGCCCCTGGGCCATACTCTGCGGAGCCTCCTGTCCCTCTTCCTGGATGAACGAGACAGTGGACCACTCATCCTGACACACATCTACCTGCTGCTGGGGGATGTCTCTTCCCATTTGGCTAGTCCCTAGACCCTGCACACAGAAGGGTAGCCTGGGGGGAGCAAGGGCCCTGGTCCCCTATGCGGGTGTCCTGGCTGTGGGTGTGGGTGACACTGTGGCCTCCATCTTCGGCAGCACCATGGGGGAGATCCACTGGCCTGGAACCAAAAAGACCTTTGAGGGGACCATGACGTCTATATTTGCCCAGATAATTTCTGTGGCTCTGATCTTAATCTTTGACAGTGGAGTGGACCTAAACTACAGTTATGCTTGGATTTTGGGGTCCATCAGCATCGTGTCCCTCCTAGAAGCATACACTACGCAGATAGACAATCTCCTTTTGCCTCTCTACCTCCTGATATTACTGATGGCCTAGCTGCTGTGCCACAGCCATGGAGGAAACTGGCACAAGGGTAGGATGAATGGTCCACACAGCAGCCACCCACTTGGGCATGAAGAACCAAAGGGTGAGAAGCAGATTTGACTTTTCAGTTGATTCAGATTCAGAATAAAAATCAAAGCTCTCCTAGTTTCTAGTTTTGCTAATATTTAAAAAGCAAAAAAGAGGGGCCACCTGATGGTGTAGTGGTCCAGTATGCGCACTCCACTTCTGTGTCCAGGAATTCGCCAGTTCCTGGGTGTAGACCACATTGCTCATCAAGCCATGCTATGGTGGCATCCCACATACAAAATAGAGGAAGATTGCCACAGATGTTAGCTCAGTGACAATCTTCCTCAAGCAAGAACAGGAAGATTAGCAATGGATGTTAGCTCAGGTCCATCTTCCTCACCACAAAACAAAAACAAAACATAAGCTAAAAGGCTGAAAGGGTAGTGCAACAACCAAAGAACCTGAGTGTGCTGTAGACCCCCCCACCTCAACCTTGCAGTCCTCAGAGGGCAGCAGAGTAGACACTGGAGGCACTAGAACCTAGTGGCTAAGACTCACGGTTCTGGTGTCACACTAATCTGATCAGAATCCTTGGCTGCGCCCCTCCTTAACTGTGTGAGGTTCTTAACCGCTCTGGGCCTCAATTCTCCTGTCTACAAGATGGGAATAATAAGAACCTGCACCTCCCAGCGTGTCGTGAGGACGCGGTGAGGTGTGGTGTGTGAAGTGTCCAGCCCAGGTCCTGCACATAATCAGCAATCAGTAAGGGAAAGTGTCACTGTTACCCAAGGCCAGTCCTCACCTCAGCAAAAAGCCAGGCAAGCCAAGGGGTTTTTCTGGGTTGTCCTTGGAGGCCAGAGTGACCTTCCTCCCGTGGCCTCACTTGGAGGGAGAAGCCAAGAGGCAAGAGCAAAGTGCCTGTGGTTTCTCCCATTGGGACTGAGGACCCAGGAGGAGCTGAGAGGAAAGGGGATCTCCTCACTGCACATGTGGAAGGCCTGTAGGAAGAGGATCAGGCCCTGGGCTGGACTTCCCATTTCAGCCAACTCACCCCTGCCTCAGGGTCTCTGCTGCCTGGCTGAAGTGGTGCTGAAGAAAGATGGGCTGGACAGCACGGGGTCCTTGTCAGCGGGTCCTTCCTGAGACCCTCTCACACTCCAGTCTTGTCCAAACCTGTGTTTGTCTCTTCTCTTGGCAAGAATTAGAGCCTGGGGAGCCGGCAGAGGTTACTGAGAATTCAGAATGGCTCTCCTGTGGGGGCCATGCTCTGGCCTTGCTCACTGTGAGGGCATGGTCTGGATCTGCCTGGTTCCCCACCACAACCCCCAGTGCCAGAGGAACCTGGCACTTAGCACGATCTCGGTAGAGGTTCCCCAAATGGATGAACATTGCCCATCAGTGGGAGAAGAGCACAGCAGCTTTCATGAGGCTGGACAAGGTTATCCCCCCCATCTCACGCAGCCTAACAGGGAGGGGCCTACCAGGAAGACGTGAGAACTTTGGCCCAACAAGGCCAGAGGCCCGGAGCAGAGCTCTCGGGAGACTATGGTCCTGCCTGGGAATCACTCCAAGTCGTTTCCTTCAGAGGACGTGCCCTGGGGCTCGAGGAGCCTTAACAAATCCTCCCTCTCTCAGGTTCCCTTCTACTGCTTGCTTAGGAGGTGGCTGAATGTGGGAGGAGCACTGGCTTTGCCTCTCCAACTCCCCGGGCAGCCTCGGGAAAGGGCTCTGTCCTCTGGGCCTTGGTTTGCCCTGTAGACAGTGGGGGCCGGAAATCAAGGTTACAAACTTACATGGCTGCTCAGGCCTTGCAGGTAATGCCACGAAGGAGGACAGTGGAAGTGGGAAGCAGCTCGTGTGCCTCTAAAAGGCAGCTCCAGCCAGTCGTCACCACGCTAGGCGACACGCCCAGTGTGGCTGACCTCCCGTTCAAGGAAGCTTAGAGACCTGGATCGCTATGTGAAATCTCCCAAATTTCAAAAGTGTTTATGAAAATGCTGAGGCCCACACAAAACATGTCTGCGGGCTGGAATCAGCCGGTGGCCCCCAGTTTGCACCCTCCAGGCCAGGCCCCGGCTAAGCAGGTTTTGGATTCGGTCATTGTTCCTGCAGAAGGTCTGGGTGCCTGCCAAGCATGTCGAAGATGGAGGGACCCATGGAGCCCCTCGTCTGGCCCCCTGATTGTGCAAGTGGGAAAACAGGCCCAGAGAGAGGAAGGGCCTGGCCTGAGGCCAGAAAGCGAGTTGGTCACAGAGCCAGGACCAGAATGTGGGACTCTGGATTCCCAGTCCTGGGCTTCTTTCCCCTCCGCATGCAAGGAGGCCCAGGAACGGAGAGGGCAGAAGCACAGGCTCTGGATCAGGCTGCCATCGCTGAACAACTGCACAGCTTTGTGACGGGCAGGTCTCTTAAGCTTCGCATGCCTCAGCTTCTTCATCTGTAAATGGGGGTGGTTAGAGCACAGACCGAAATGTGTGAGGGCTCAGTGAGATGAAGCATGTAGAACTGTCAGCACGGTGAGTGCCCACGAAATGTCATGTACTGGTATTAAAATCATGCAGACCTCACCAGGCTGGGCTGAGGTGTCTGGGATGATTTTCAGCTGGGCTCTCATCTTGAGAGCGAGGCTGCTTGGGAAAAAAGGATGGAGAAGCTGCATTTAGGGGTCATTTTTATTCAATATCTAGCACATCAGTAATCAGGGGTTATTTTTATTCAGTATCTTGCACTGTAATCATCAGAATTCCATCTGAGAGGCGAGAAGAGTAAGAAGCCGGCAGGGAAGTGGCCAGAACCCTTTCACGGCTGAGAGGCTGGCTCTAGAGGGAGGTGGTGTTGGGCAGCAGGGAGGCAGAGAGACAGAGATCTTGAGAAGGCCACCCAGCCCAGGTTCCTGCTGCCCGGCTGTCACCTCCAGCCACATCTCCAGGGCTGAGGGGTGCAGACACTGGCAGAAAGAAAGCCCAGGAGGAGAGATGTGCCTTCCTGGTTGGGGGGAGGGGGGTGGGGGGTGGCCGTGGGGCAGGGGGGAGGCGGGTTAGCTGCTGGTGTTTGCAGCCCACGGCTTCACCAGGAGGGGCAGTGTCCCAGCCCTGAGACGGCACTTAGGTGTACAGTGGGGGAAAGGGCAGCTCAGCTGTTGGCTGGAGCCTGCAGAGGATAGAAGAGGTGACCTTGAAATGCCAGCACCACTGCTCCCAGCCTCCAGGACGTCTTCAGGAGCCTGGGCTGCAACACACCCTGCCACCTACCAGTTCTCTGGGCTCCAGACGGTGCCAGAGGCCTCCATGAGGTGGAAAGTGTAGACATGGCGCGAGTGGTCAGACAGGTTCTGCTCGCTCTTGTGCACCACTTCTCCATGAATTAGGACGAGGGATCCTGGCAGGGACACAGCAGGTCAGAACACTCAGGGCAGGAAGGGACATGGGGCCCCCCTCCCTCAAGAGGTTTTGTGGCCTATTCACACCCATTCTGGTCCCTGACGGCTCAGGGGCCTGCAGCCTGCCCCAGGGTTGGAGGCTGTGCTGTTGAACCTGGGTTCCTTGGGATCAGTCCCTTCTGCTGTGTCCCATGCCCTGGGCAAGCCTGAGCAAGGGCATCCCCTGCGTGGTATTAGTAGACCCAGGCAGAAGCTGTCTGTACTGTGGCAGGTAGCTGGGCCCTCTCCAGTGGACGCTGAGCTGGACCTCAATTCTCCCTTTTCTAAAAGGAAGGCGGGGCCGGCCCTGTGGCTGAGTGATTACGTTCTCGTGCTCCAGCTTCAGCGTCCCAGGATTTTGCTGCTTCAGTTCCTGGATGTCTACCTAGCACCACCCATGAGGCCATGCTGAGGTGGCGTCCTATATAACACAACTACAAGGACCTATAACTTGCATATACAACTATGTACTAGGGGGCTTTGGGAAGAAGAAAAAAGATTGCCAACAGATGTTACCTCAGGTGCCAATCTTTAAAAAACTAAATAAATAAATAAAAGTGGTTGTCCTAATAGCCAGCATCTGTTGAGCACTTGCTGTGCACCATACAGGTTCCATGTAAACATCTTATATACATCATCCCACTGACTTCCCCGCTTTACATTTGGGGAAACAGGCTTACAGAGTTTCAGTCATTTGCTCAAAGAGACAGCCCCAACATAGCCGAGTCTGGATTCTAGCCTGATCTGGGAGAACTTGTTGCTCCCACTGCTTCCTGACTTCCCAGTCTGACCTTCCCTCTTTCTGTGACTTCATAGCCCTCAGGTGAGCTGGGTGCTAAAAGCACACGCCCACGAGCATGGCCTCAGGGCCCTGCCTCACTGTCCTCTGCATCCTGCCTACCTCTCCCCACTTCTGTGGGCACATAGAGGCTGTTGTCCCAGGCTGGGTCTGATCCCCGGATGGAGATCCCAGTCATGGAACCAGCAGGGGTCCGGACCATCCTTCTGGACACTCCACCTGCAGGCAAAGATGGAGCCTTTAGCCTCTCTTTTTTCCCTGGTCCCTCTCCCATGAGGGTGGGGTACTAGTGGGCAGGGAGAAACAGGTGTTCTCACTGGTGTGGGAGCCAGGGATGAACCAGAGGCAGCCGTTCTCCACCGTGGTGTCCTCCAGTGCGATCCACAAACCCAGCAACCGGCCCAGGGGCTCCGTGTACAGGAAGGTGGCATCCTGGTGGGCAGGGACTGCAGCAGGCCCGCCTTGGCATGAGGAGCCCGGCCTCCCCTCACCCCAGCTCACTTCCCTCTCCCCAGTCCTCTCAGAGCACTCCAGGTCCAGCCTTCCCATCCCGGGATCAGTTCCAGTCTCCCCACTTTCCTGGCCCACAGACTCGGGGCAAGAGAGTTCCCCTCTCAAGGCCTCCAGGTCCTAAAGGGCAAAGTGGCCCCAACAATAACCTGCCTCATAGGGCTGCTGGAGGAGTCCGTGAGACAGTGTGAGACGTGCTCGGTACAGGGCCCAACATTGAAATGGCTTGCTACAAAGTAGCTGCTATTGTTTAATTCCAGCCAGGTAACGAAAGCCACTGTCCTGAGCCAGGGAC